GATACGAAGCATTAAAAATGAAAAATAGAATTGTGATTGATATTGAGATTGAAAAAAATATGTTAAATGAGTGTTTAGTATGAGTGATTATTTATTACTTGGGATTGGCCCAAAATACATATGTAGAATTGTCTAATCTTATGTAGCAAAAAATCCCTCATATTAAACACTGTTTTTTCTCAATCCCAACCCTAATTCTTACCTTTCATTTTCAATGCTTTGGATCAAAGGGGACCTAAATGTTCACAAAGTCTTTGGAGCCAATAATGTCAACAAGATGCTTCAGCAGGTGCCTATAAAGAGTGGGTTTGGAGGATCTTGCTTGATAGTTTGGGACTTCTCTGACTCCAAAAATTCATTGTCCTGATCTTTTCGAGACATTTTTTTCTGCTCCTGCTGAAGTTGGGGTAGTCGCCATTGGTAATCTTCTTCAAAGAAGAAGAGAAGCAAAAGTTTGGAAATTGCTCATTATTTAAAAAGAAAAAAGAAAAAGAAAAAGAAGAACTTGTCTTGAATGGAGGGAACTTCCTTGACTTTATCCCACAGAACGACGTCGCTTGGCAATTGAATAGGGGGAGCTCATTCTTGACTTTACTAAAACGGTGCGCATAAATGATGAGCTCTTGGTGCTCATCATCATGCTTAGCACCGAAATTGATTCCTAGGATGGGATATAGACGTAGCGTTCTAATATGATCCTTCTGACGCGACTCATTTATTTGCTTAAGAAGACGTTCATTATTCTGAATTTTTCAGTTAAAAAAATAGATTTCCTAATTAAATTGAAAGTGCACATCAAAGAAAGGAGTATTTTGTGAAAAATGTGGAAAATAAAGAAGAGAAAAACTGACATGCACCCACTTTGAAATGATGTTTAACTGAAGGAAAAAAAAAAAGAGAAAAAAATCTATAATCACAAAGGGCAAAGTCGAAAAGTCCTCGAGTCAACACAGAGACATAATATGGAACATGATACTTGCAAGTCCATTTAATTTTCGAAAATAAAAATATCTATTGTAAATTTAAACAAAAATAGTCAAGAGATAAGTATCGAGTCTGGTCATTAATATAAGAGATAATTAAAAAATTAATTTAGTTTTAAATATAAGATCTCAATTAACCTTGTATCAAATATTTATCCATTTGACTCTCAAGTAATCCTTATAGACTATTAGTGATTACACGTGTTAAGGAGTTTTCATAAAAGGATAATTTCAATGACTGATAGGGTATTTTAAAAAAGACAATATCAATTTATTGCAAATAACTAAATAAAAATAACCCATAGAGATAAGTACTAGGTCAGGTCATTAATATAAGAGATAACTGAAAATTTAATTTAGTTTTAAATATAATATCTCAATTTACTTTGTTTTAAATATTTATCCATTTTGTCCTCAAGTAATCCTTATAGACTATTAGTGATTACACATGTTAAGGAGATTTTATAAAAAGATAATTTCTATGCACACGATTGATAGGGATATTTTAGAAAACACAATATCAATTTATTACAAATAACTAATTTAACTAATTTTTTATTATTTATAAATTAGTTAACTAACTTTTACATTAATTACTTATTTATTGTCAATCTAATATTGAATATGTTCCTCCGCTATCCATTTTATTCGATTGAAAGCTATCTTGCAAATGTATGCCAATTTTTTAAAAGAGCTACATCGCTCACAATTTGTTGTCACTCGGTGGGCTGTAATATGTTTAAAGTATTTCATGATGTGCAACATGAAGAGTAATATTTATTTATGATTTTCTTTCTTCCTCTCTTTCTTTATTTCTTTTTTTGGCGTTACAAGCTCGACAAAAAGGTTTCAATATAAATCGACAGATTTTAATTAAAGTACTTGGGCTTTATATTCAAGACTATACACTTCTCTATACTTCTGACATAATTGTCACTGTGTGATTGGTCATATTACCTTATTCATGATGTGTTTGGATGGAGAGAACACCAAAAATAATCCATGATACTTTAACAAGATGGTACGGCAAGAGATTTATAATAGAGGGGTTTTCGTGAATTCATTCTTTTTAATACATCAACAGTACTTTAATCTAATATCAATAAATATTACATAACAAAGTAAAACCGGGACCTTTTGCAAGCTACTCGTAATTAATACATCAAAAAGGAAAAACTAATTTGGAGGTCCATGTAGTTTTATCTCATTTTAAATCAGGTCCTTGAGGATTTTTTCCTTTTTATTCCTTTAGGTTTGCACCGTTAAATCCGTTACTCCTTGTCCTTGAAAATCGTTTAACAAGAATGAACGGCCTGTTGACAGACGTTAGAGGGGACTGGGACTGCGGCTAGCTGGAGAGTCTTGTTGGGAGCACCCATGATGAAACCCAACAGGTGATGAACAGGTCCGGTGACTGAGGGCGTGGTTCCTCACAGGTTTTCTTGATCATTCTCAGTGTGAGTACAACAACTTCTTCCCTGCAAATGCTACAATCAGAAAAGTGCCATTAAAATCCTATGTCAGAGGAATAAGACATCCCACTAGCTTCGTATTATACCAAATTGATAATATTTCTTTCTGCCAAGTTTTGAAATTATTTGGTGTGGTCAAATCTAAGCTTGATTTTTGTTTTTGGTCCCCTGTGTTTGGGAGTTGGATATTTTCCTTTTGCTTGTATCCTCTACAATCAACGGCGTTTGATGTTTATCATCGTGGGTGCTCCCAACAAGACTCTCCAGCTGGCCGCTTTCCCTCTGATCTTCGGTATTCATGCACTCTTCGAACTCGCGTTGGAGAAGCAGAAGAGAGAAGGATGAGCAGAAGAGTCCACATGCCCTCCGTCTCAGTCCTCTCTAACGTCTGTCAACAATCCGTTCATCCCTGTTAAATGGTTTTCAAGGACAAGGAGCAACGGATATAACGGTGCAAACCCAAAGGAGTTAATAAAAAGGAAAAAAAATCCTCAAGGACCTGATTCAAAATGAAATAAAATTATAAGGACCTCCAAATTAATTTTTCTTTTTTTAAAAGAGCTACATCACTCACAATTTGTTGTCACTTAGTGGGCTGTAAGACGTTTAAAGTATTTCATGATGTGCAACATGAAGAGTAATATTTATCTATGATTTTTCTTTCTTCCTCTCTTTCTTTATTTCTTTTTTTGGCGTTACAAGCTCAACAAAAAGGTTTCCATATAAATCGACAGATTTTAATTAAAGTACTTGGGCTTTATTTTCTCAATTTATGTGATCTCTTGTTTTATTTGATTTGGTTAATATTAGAATCATTATTTGTGTTTCTTTTTTTCTGCCAGAGATTGATTATTTATGTTCAAAACTATACACTTCTCTATACTTCTGACATAATTGTCACTGTGTGATTGGTCATATTACCTTATTCATGATGTGTTTGGATGGAGAGAACACCAAAAATAATCCATGATACTTTAACAAGATGGTACGGCAAGAGATTTATAATAGAGGGGTTTTCGTGAATTCATTATTTTTAATACATCAATAGTACTTTAACCTAATATCAATTAATATTACATAACAAAATAAAACCGAGACCTTTAGCAAAACAAAACGCACAAACTACTCGTAATTAATACATCGATAGTAGTACGTCTTTAGCAGCAGCCACTGGGTCGATTCCTGCAAAGTTGGGTCAAAGACCTGATCTTGAAGTATGCATAGCAAGAGCCTGCAATATGTATAAGTTAACGATAATTGCAAACATATGCACTGTAACCCTAAGACTAAACACGTATAGAATCTAAACTGTCTCTTTCTGTCATGGCTATTTTGTCACAATATCAGGTAACAATTTGGGGTTAGAACTGAAAATGAAACTCTGCAATTTTATATGAACTTGAAAATATATGTATCAGATTTAAAAGTATAAAGAAAAAGCTTCGATAAAAACATAAATCAGAGTTTGTTTCACTTAGCATATAGTGCCCACAAGGCTTTCGATCAATGGTTACGATTTATCATGAGAACCGCCATGACATAAAGTTTGTCTCTAATAAAATACAAGAAGGTGAAGACTGCCTGAAATTTCTGTTGAGAAATATAGCACCGCAAATTCCCCAAAAAGCCATGGCAAATCCAACTCCCAACCCAATGTAGAAGAAAGACAGAAACTCATCATCTTGGTTTTGTCAGATTCTACGTTGGGATTCTGTCTTCATTATCAGTGCAATTCTTTTGAAGTGGAGGTCCACAAGATCAGGATTCCCAATATAACTTTGTGCATCAAACCCTTGAAGTTGAGTGCCTGATGGGCTCTTTCGAATAAAATTGTTGAAGGAAAGGTTCAAGGCTGCTAGAAAAGACAAGTCGGCTATACTTTTGGGAATTTCACTTGACAGTCGCTCATTTGCAAGATCAACAGACTCCAATTGTTTCATGTTCCCAATCTCTTTTGGTGTGTTTCCCTCAAATTAATTATGAGACAAATTCAAAGATTGTAATCCCGTGAGAGCAAAAATTTCCAGAGGTATTGTCCTGGACATCATGTTACTTGATAGATCAACAGAACGTACCAAATTCAAGTTTCGTTTATAGCTCAATCCTTGGCCTTTCATGTGTAACAAAACCTCGTCTCTCACTATGAAAGTGTAATTTAGAGTTCTAGAACAGTAGTTTAGAACTCCACTATACGAAGAATTAGCGGAAACCATGGCCGCCATGTTTTCTAGGCAAGTTGGGATTGAACCTGATATTTTGTTGTCCGCCAAATCCAATATTATGAGGGAAGTTAATTGGCATATTTGTGAGGGGATATTTCCGCGGAGTTGATTGGATCTCAGTCTGATAACCTTAGCTTTGTCCCCAATCCAACTTGGTATGTGTCCTGAAAATTTGTTTTCCACTAAATCAATGACTTGCGGGATTTTGCAATTTTTCAGTGACAAAGGTAGATAACAAGTTATTTTTATTGAGATGCAAAAACGCAAGGTTAGACAATAAACTCATTGATGGAGGTATTCTACCTCGACTACTGCCGCCAAGCTTAAGCACAACCAGTGATTTCCAATTCATCCAACAATCTGGCAGTTTCCCAGATAATAAATTATTAGACATATCCAAAGACTTTAATTTGCTTCTCCCCTTTATTCTTTGACACACTAACGGAGAAATAGATCCTCGAAGGTAGTTGTTTGCTATGCTGAGCTGGACAACATTTTGTGATAACTGAGGAACGTTGCCTTTCAATTTGTTTGAATCCAAATTTATGACTGTAGAATTCAGTAACACATTAGACATTTCTCCATCAATGGTGTTATCGTCTAAGTGTAAGTATGCTAGTTGGGTTGCAAATTTCCAAAATCTGTCTTGAGACTCGAATGAAATTCTTGAATATTTAATTCCTAAGCTGCTTAGACGTGTTTGCGTGTATATCCATGCAGGGAGTTGAGGACCCCTCATGTGTTCCAAGTGAATAGTTTCAAGTTGGAAAGGAGGAAGCCAAATAGGATTAAAGTCAAAGATGAAGCCTGGTGTTCCCATGACAAGCAACTTCAGATTCGAGAGTGCGTCGAAATTTCTTTCCGACACATGCCCCGCCAAGTTATTATCACTAAAATCTAGTTCCTCCAAATTCAAGAGTTGTCCAAGATTTGTAGGAAGAGCACCACTAAAGTGGTTAGACCTGACAATAAAGTTTTTCAACGATGAGAGATTTCCCAAAGTTAAAGGAACGGGGCCAGAAAAGAAATTTTCACTAAGATCGAGAAGTTGTAATAACCAGTCGGGAATTGGCCCACCGAGTCTATTGTCCCCACAGACAATTCTTGTGTTTTCCGGAGGTTCAATAAACCCTCTGGCAATCCCCCTCCGAATAATTTGAGCGTAGGTTGAGAACAGTGACACCACTACGATTGAACAACCAGTTGGGAAAGAAGTCCGAGCTAAATTCATTACTAGGGAGGATAAGAACCTCAAGCGAAGTGAAATTGATAAACCGGAGAGATGGATTTATGTTTCTAAGCTGACAACTTTCCAAATATAGCTCTGTGAGGGAGGGAAGTACAGTTGCCAATTGAAGCCAGTCAAGTTTTCCCTGAAGATTAATACCGCTGAAGTCAAGATATTCCAAGGAGGGAACACGAGAAAGCCAATGAAGACTATCAAAGTGAAGATCTTCATTATTGGATAAATTGAGATAATGAAGATTGGAAGAATTTTGGCGTTCAACCAGAGATAGGTTGTTAGAGTTTGTGATATCCACATGATCATTTTGGACGATAGCACGGAAGTCATGATTGCTCAAATCCAAGTAATTAAGAAACCCAAGCTGATCAAGCAAAGATAGGTGGGGTTCACCTGTGAGACAGTGTGATCTCGTCTCTCCACAATCACCGTAAAAGATTGTAAAGGACAAGGGACACTGAACTCGATGACTCTGCCGCTGGTGTTGTCACACTGAACTCCTTCCCATTCACAACAGTCTCGCTCGTCGGACCAAGCCGAGAGGATGGCTGATGGATCGACAAGGGTGTGTTTGAAGTTTAGGAGAAGGTGATGGTCTTTTTCATTGCACTGCATAGCGCCTTTGCGTAGCGTGATTGAACATATCAGGAACCATAGAAGCACAAGATTAGAAATACGGGAGGGCAATGAGGCATCCATGATTGCTTGAGATAGAGACACCAATTATGGCATATACGTGTGTGTGTGTGACTGCAACATATAGCGAGTTTGGCCTTGATATTACTTGAAATGTAATGCTTATCTCTATGGTATATACCATGACATGTGGTAGCAAATGGTTGAATGGATGACTTTTGAAAAGTTGCGTCAACTTGATCCATCGAACAGCAGGACCACTCAAATTATGGGAGTGAGAGGAGAGGATCTTGTATCCTTCCCTTGCCATCCTACTTCTCACACCTCTTCTTCTTTTTCTGGTCATTAAATCAATATTTGAATGGTATATGATTTTAAACATATGATTTAATCTATTTCAGTACGCGTGCAGAAGGTGAAGGTTCGGACCACCACTTCTTTGCAAATTGGTTCAATTTGTAACATAGTAATGACATGAATGAGAAGATTGATGCCATGACAACTCACTATGATGAACATGTGGCGAAATGGCAGAGACGAGGTGAAGAGGTGGCGACAGGCCGACAGCCCATGAGGGACACACCTTTAATTTATTCAATTATTTTAAGAGCGAAGAAAAGTTGTACCACTTCTTCACAAATTGGTTCAAATAACGTGACTTGAAAAAAGAATTGGTGAAGTGTATTGACCAAGTTGATCAGTATATTTTTTAATTTATTCATATGGAGCGACCATAATAGGCATTTGTGGACGGGTGCAGAAGGTGAAGGGTTCAAACCACCGCTTCTTTCCAAAATGGTTCAATTTTTGTGACATGTGATAACATGGATGAGAAGATCAATGACGTGGTGACTCACTATAATGGACATGTGGTGACATGGCAAAGAGGAGGTGGCGATAGGCTGACAGCCAACAAGGGACACATCTTTAATTTATTCAGTTATTTTTAAGGACCAAGAAAATTTGCTGCCAACTCAGGTGAAGTTTATCTGCAGTTTTCTATTAGATAACTTTTGGTTTTTCCTCCCATATTCTTTTTTAAGGGAAAACAACACTAAAAGAAAATGCGAAAATTGCTGAGAGAATTTTTGTTCGTCTTGATTTTGTGAGGAAAATCTGCGATGAAAACATTGTTTTCTTGAAGTAAATTTGAATTGAAAAGTAAGCACCCACTTCGAAGTACTACAAAGGAGTCTGGCAACCCCTTATAATCACTTTAAAAAAGTATTTTGTGAAACAAAACTCATCTTACATAATTATCTTACATGCCGTAAAATCACTTTAAAAAAACTGTTTGTCCTATTTTACATAACAAATTAAAAAATGATTTCACACAACAAAAAATTAAAAAACATATAAAAGTTGTTCTTATTTTCAATTTTGTAAAGCATTTTTTTTTTTGCTTTACAAAACATTTAACTAAAAATTAATTATCAGACAAGTTTTTTTATTTTTAATTTTTTCCTGAAAAACCGAAAAATTGCTTGGAAATGGGAAACTAAACAAGGACTAAGTCTTCTTTCCAACTAGTATAGTTATTTGATTAATTTTCTTAGCTTTTTCTCTATCTGGTTAGCCATCCAGGTGGATTCATCAATGTCGGGGAGGTCCCCTAATCTCAAATAAATTTAAGAAAATTAAAACAAATATGTGAATATAATTCTTGGTCATGCATTTTTTATATTTAATTCAATGGATAAAGTATCTAAACTTTCTTTTGAAATGTATGGAAAAAGGGAGGTTGATAATAATTTTTTTTTTAAAAAATGAAGTCTTGGTCTATCATATATTCACATAGTTGCTTTTTTGTCATATTTTATGCTTCAATTTAATTAGCGTAAGCTTTACTTCCTCGAACTTCACTGTTTGAGTCAAAGTCACTGCATGGATAAGAATGAAAAGCTATATATTTAATTAGGGCAAGTTAAACGAATAATTAAACGGATGGATGAGATTATATATATATAAATATATATATATATATATATATATATATATGGGTCAAGACAATTTGTTTTGTCATTTTGATCATTCTACGCCACCTCTGCCACGGTTGCTACCAATAATTTTCATATAGTATAAAAGAATACCCACACTGAATTAAAATAGAGCTAGAATAATCTGAAATATAATCACCTTGAAGCAAGCTTTAATCTCTTGGAAGCATGAGATGAAGAAGACGTTGGAGACAATAACAGTCCCTTGAGCCAAGAGTCATTCATCCTCATAAAGGCCAGGGCAACACACACACACACACACAGACACACACACACGTATATAATTGTGACGATGTCAAATTTCTCCATATCAAACTTAAATAAGATTGGACGCCTTCAAAAAAATACTTCAAACTTATTACGGTCTATTCAACTTGATCCAGTTCCATTTAATTAAAGCACACAATTAATTACTTAATATGAGTTCAAAATATAAATAAAATATGCTCAATAACTTAATACTAATCCACAAAATAATTCCAATGTACACCCCCCTAAAAGAAAGAAATAAAAAGTTAAAAATGGGTATGTTTAGTCTGACAAAATAATCTCCGCATAGTCATTTAAGTTTATTTATCTGTGAAGATATTAAAATTGAAAATGCGACGCATAATTTTACCAAACTTGACTATAGTGTCCATTTTATATATTTAAGAAAAAATTACGATGAGGTTTCAAAAAAGAAATGTAATCATAAGCAATTTTTAATAATAAGTGAATATCGTGAACCTATTTTCATTTTTTTATGCTCAAAGTTGTTATTGTTTACAGCTCATTTGTTATAAGACTTTTGATAATTATAATTGGGAAATGTGGATCTCTGTACATTTATTAATCCAGGTCTTTTTCCCCACTATGTTTATATGGTTAATTCCCTTAACATATTCCCTATCAATTATTACGTGGTGAGTTAGCAGGGTGGCGTCATGCATGCAAACTCTATCTAATAGTCAGTGGTAGTAGTGGCAGACTTAGAAAATAATGAACCAATACAAGCCAATTAAGAAAGAGCAAGTAGTGTTGGCAAAAAGAAAAAAAGCGAGTAATAAAGCTTAATTTGCACGCTAATTAAAAAGAAGCGTCAAACACGGAAATTAGTGAATGATGGTACTTTCAGAAGATAATAAGCCTAGATTAATTACTAGTGGATGAAATGGTTTAGAGTTTAGACGCGTCTATTTTACTTCAGAGCTATCTATTATATTGTCTGAATAAAAGGATCCAAGAAAAATCAGTGAAGATAAATAGAATAGTCGTCGCAGAATATCAAAGGCGAAATCTAGGCCAATAAATAGCCACCGTTGAGGGCAATCCCTCCCACATACATCAAACCATACATCGTGAGTGATCATGGAAACCTCATTCTCCCATAGATCTATTGCCAATCTTTTGCTTCTATGTAATGCCACGAAAAAAACCGCCACCTTCTCTTAACCTTCAAACACACTCTTGTTGATCCCTCGACCATCCTCCCCGATTGGACCCGTGAGCGAGATTGTTGTGAATGAGCTGGAGTTCAGTGCGACAACACCACTGGCAGAGTCGTTGAGCTTAGTCTCCCTTGTTCTGCACAATCCTCCACCCCTGATGGCTGTGAAGATGAGAAATCACACTGTCTAACAGGTGATCTCAACCTATCATTGCTTCAACTTGAGTTTCTAAATTACTTGGATTTGAGCAACAATGACCTACAAGCTATTGTTCAAAAAGGTTATGTGACAAATTGTAGTAACATGTCTTTTGTTCACCATCCTCATTCCTGTGAAAATTCTTCCAATCTTCATTATCTTGATTTATCTGAAAATGAGAATCCTTATGTTGATAATATTCTTTGGAGAACAAAAACAAGGAAAAGAACAATAAAGGGAGCCAAAAAGGATAAGGTCCTCTGACCTTTTACTATGTATAAATACTAAAGAATTAGGGTTACAATTACAATGAATAAATCTAAGCCATACACGTGTATAGTGAAAAGAATACTACAGCTGTAAAGTTATTCTTCCTATTCCTATTTACAATAACCGTAACATCACCTTTTTGCTTTAACACTCTACCTCAAACAAGAGGGTGTCACTGACAGACCGAGTTTGCTTCTCAAATTGAAAAACTGAGGTTGAGACAGAGCTTTTGTTAAGCAATCGGCGACTTGGTGAGAAGAAGGAACATAGCGGACAGAAATGGAAATTGATAGCACAAGATCACGGATGACATGGACATCAATTTCAATGTGCTTGCTCCTAGCATGTTGCACAGGATTTGCGGCAAGAGCTGCGGCACTTAAATTATCACACCAAATCGTTGAAGGTTGACGCAAACAGAGACCAAGCTCAACCATTAAAGATTGCAACCATTTAATTTCTGCAGCTCCATCAGCAAGTGCTCGGTACTCAAATTTGGTACTGGATCTTGAGACTACTCTTTGCTTGCGATGACCATGAGACCAGAGTATTGCCAAGATAAACACAGCAACCAGCCATAGATTTACGGTCATCAACATCTGTGGCCTAATCAGCATCGGTGAAGGCTATTAAGTGAAGAGAGGTAAAAGGTTTTATATGTAAACTCATAATGGTAGGTTCCTTTGAGATATCTAAGAATTCTTTTTACCCCTTGAAAATGGACATCCATGGGTTGTGCCAAGAACTGGCTGAGCTTGTTTACAGAGAATGCAATGTCTGGTCGTGTTGAAGCAAGATATTAGAGTGACCCAATTGCTCTTCTACACAGAGAAGTGTTTATCATTGGAGTACCTTCTGTAGCAGAAAAATGGCGTCCTGTAACCATTGGAGTCGACACTGGTGCACAATTCAACATATTAAACTTCTTCAGTAAGTCCACTGTATATTTTCCTTGATTAAGGAAAATTCCAGATTTATCTCTGTAAATTTCCAGGCCGAGAAAATAGTATAAAGGACCGAGATCTTTAAGAGAAAACAGGGCATTAAGTCTCTGAATAAAACTTCTGACATAATGAGTAGTATTGCCAGTAATCAAAATGTCATCTACATAAATAAGAATAAAAACTGTGAGATTATTGGTCCTGAGATAAAATAGAGAAATATCACT